ATTCCACTCTCAGGAAAGACACCAGTTTGAGCCTAAGCCTCTTAAATTCTGACAACATTTGTGTTATCATTGATCCTGAGTTGTCGTTTATTTTCTTCCACGTGTCAACATATCAACAGGACCTCGGGACTTCCATCTGTGCAACAACTTTCACTTCTTTCATTTCATTACCCCAACTGACACTGAGAACCTTATGAATGCTTTCAACACATTGTACAGTGAAGGAAAAGAGTATTTGATCCCCTGCTGATTTTGTACGTTTGCCCACTGACAAATAAATTATCAGTCTATAATTTTAATGGTAGGTTTATTTGAACAGTGAGAGACAGAATGACAACACAACAATCCAGAAAAACGCATGTCAAAAATGTTATAAATTGATTTGAATTTTAATGAGGGAAATAAGTATTTGACCCCTCTGCAAAACATGACTTAGTACTTGTTGGCAAAACCCTTGTTGGCAATCACAGAGGTCAGACGTTTCTTGTAGTTGGCCACCAGGTTTGTCCACATCTCAGGAGGGATTTTGTCCCACTCCTCTTTGCAGATCTTCTCCAAGTCATTAAGGTTTCGAGGCTGACGTTTGGCAACTCGAACCTTCAGCTGCCTCCACAGATTTTTCTATGGGATTAAGGTCTGGAGACTGGCTAGGCCACTCCAGGACCTTAATGTGCTTCTTCTTGAGCCACTCCTTTGTTGCTTTGGCCGTGTATTTTGGGTCATTGTCATGCTGGAATACCCATCCACGACCCATTTTCAATGCCCTGGCTGAGGGAAGGAGGTTCTCACCCAAGATTTGACGGTACATGGCCCCGTCCATCGTCCCTTTGATGCGGTGAAGTTGTCCTGTCCCCTTAGCAGAAAAACACCCCCAAAGCATAATGTTTCCATCTCCACGTTTGACGGTGGGGATGGTGTTCTTGGGGTCATAGGCAGCATTCCTCCTCCTCCAAACATGGCGAGTTGAGTTGATGCCAAACAGCTCTATTTTGATATCATCTGACCACAACACTTTCACCCAGTTGTCCTCTGAATCATTCAGATGTTCATTGGCAAACTTCAGACAGGCATGTATATGTGCTTTCTGGAGCAGGGAGACCTTTTGGGCGCTGCAGGATTTCAGTCCTTCACGGCGTAGTGTGTTACCAACTGTTTTCTTGGTGACTATGGTCCCAGCTGCCTTGAGATCATTGACAAGATCCTCCCGTGTAGTTCTGGGCTGATTCCTCACCGTTCTCATGATCAATGCAACTCCACGAGGTGAGATCTTGCATGGAGCCCCAGGCCGAGGGAGATTGACAGTTCTTTTGTGTTTCTACTATTTGCGAATAATCGCACCAACTGTTGTTACCTTCTCACCAAGCTGCTTGGCGATGGTCTTGTAGCTTATTCCAGCCTTGTGTAGGTCTACAATCTTGTCTCTGACATCCTTGGATAGCTCTTTGGTCTTGGCCATGGTGGAGAGTTTGGAATCTGATTGATTGATTGCTTCCGTGAACAGGTGTCTTTTATCCAGGTAACAAGCTGAGATTAGGAGCACTCCCTTTAAGAGTGTGCTCCTAATATCAGCTCGTTACCTGTATAAAAGACACCTGGGAGCCAGAAAACTTTTTGATTGAGAGGGGGTCAAATACTTATTTCCCTCATTAAAATGCAAATCAATTTATAACATTTTTGACATGCGTTTTTATGGATTTTGTTGTTGTTATTCTGTCTCTCACTGTTCACATAAACCTACCATTAAAATTATAGTCCGATCATTTCTTTGTCAGTGAGCAAACGTACAAAATCAGCAGGGGATCAAATACCTTTTTCCCTCACTGTAACTCAACTCTCTTCTCTATGGCCTCCACAAATTCCTCATTTCCAAACTCAAGATTATGCATAATCCATCTGCTAGGATCTCCACACGCACCTGTGAGTGAGACCACATCCCTCCAATACTTCAATCCCTCCAATGGCTTCCAATTCAATCTTGGATCAAATTTCAGATGTCACTATCTTCAAGATACTCCAACGACTCAGCCCTGCGCATCTCTACCCCGCTCATCTCACTCTGCTCCACTGCACACACTCTCCGCTCCAGCAGCCAAGGCCACTGTTGAAGCCCCCAGTCAACATTCGCTCAGTGGCAGGTCGCTCACTCTACTCTGCTTCCCAAATAGTCTGGAACTCCCTTCCCCCTAACATCCATGCTGTCGACTCCCCGTTACTATTAATTCCCGTTTTTCCCCTCAGCCTATGATTGGCTACCTCAATCTATATTATACCCACTGGTTTATGTTCCGTGTATTCAGACGCTATATCATTCCAAATTGTGTTGCATTGGGTTATTTAGGATGCCTTGGTGAGTAGCTACAGTAAGGGGCTCACAGTTGCTAAATAGTGCGCTCGTACGAGGCAGCCGAGCGGCATGATTATCTCGCAGCCCATGTGAGAGCGAGGCACATCAAGGAAAGATGTTTAAAGGCCCCCCGTGGTGCGGCGCACATCTCAGCGGGCCCGTATGCGCTTTAGACCTGGGTATCCTGCTGAGATAAAGCCGGGACCTGGGAGGCTTTGAAGCTTCTGTGTGTGTGCGCACGTGTGTGTGTATGTTTGTGAGACAGTGACACATATATAGACATACTAAGAGGGAAGAACCAGTACGCACAAGAATGATAGAGGTAGGAAATAAATAAAGGACAAATAGCTGGAAGAGATTAGACAGAGAGATATCATTATTTTAAAGATACAGAGGATACCAGTTAAATGTTACCAACTTATTTTGGCATGTGATGCAATCGATGCCTCTAAATTATCCAAACAATCGTTATACATTCTCGATTTGAAGTTTTCGTGACTGCAAGGATCCATACGCTTTGATTTTTTTGGTAAAGTCACTTGACTTTACCGAAAAAAACAACGAGTATGAATCGTTATACATTCCAAGCAAATTATATCTGTAATTAATTGAACACTCATTAGTCCTGCCAGTGATACTTGTTGTGATGCATCCTTCGCTCAGGACTGTATTATTCCAAGCGTGTGTCATACATAATGAATTTATCGTCATGCTCATCCACATGAATATGTATCCAAGTGTTTATATAAATTGTGCTGACAAAACTACAAATGAAGGGAGTGGAGGCTATGCTATGAACACCGGTAAATTCATGACAATTCCCATCATTGTGACAAAGGTAGACAAGACTTGATTTGAAACTTTCGTGACTGCAGGAATCCATCCTCTTTGGTTCACCTGAAGACGGTCACTTGTGTTGCGATCGAAACGCCGTGATCTATTAATTTTCTATCTACGTGACTTTACCGAAAGAACCAAAGAGTATGCAGACAAGACATTAATTTAATGAACCACACTCTTGAGTGTGTTTAACTGATGAACCTTTGACGCATGAGTTGGCCAATGTGTCATTCATAATTTGCACCACCCATTGTAAAGGTGAACAGCGGATGTGCTCGTGCTATCTCACATGAGTGAAGTGTTGGTTGGAAAACACGAGATGATACCGGAAGGTAGCAGTGACGCCTCCCCGCAGACGCTGTTCCCTAAAATCACTCACTCGTATTGTTAGCACATTTGGGCATTGAAGCGAAATTGTGTTTAAATGTTTGGAAGTGTGCAGTTCGTTAGGTTCAAGTGCGGGGATTGGGTGTAAAAAAGCTGGCAGCCTCAGTCTGACGACGGACGTGTGGTTTGTTTAAAAAAACATCAATTATTGCGTAGATGATTGTCTTTGCAACACAATATTTCATTTTACTTTGGCTGTCAATGCTGATTTACATATTTGGATCATGCACACACACGCACACAGCGTGTATGTAATTTTCCGCTGGTTTCAGTTTGTCCGAAATTCCACCTTTAAGGATAGCACACATTAACCAGATATGCCAATACACTGGTCAATTCATCGTGAATACAAACCAATGTTGGCGGTGGCACACCCAGCCAATTGTGAACAATTATTCATTATTTACGTACAATTTCACATATACGAGAAATCTACAACAAAGGCAAATGGCATTCAACAGCCATCTAAACATTCTCTCCCCCCCTGGGTGTGCCTCTGAATGCAGATAAACCCTTTCAAGCAGAGCACAATTCAGGTGCAGTTGATTTGCCCTGTATAAATAAGCATAATAATATAGCGGTCAATATATTGATACTTTAGAATTTGGGGGTGGGGGAATCACACGCTTATATTCAGGGACTTATGCATTTTCTATACTTCATTTGCATATAGGGACAGTTGCACACTGATACGCTCACGCACACGATTAGAATAATGCGCTTTCAAACAAGGACACGTGCACAATGGTACAATCTTACATCTGCGAATGCATGTGCTCATACATAAATGAGGCTGCCTCTTTCATTATACGGTTGGGAAAGTAATTACGGCACAGTAATGGTGTTGGCTGCCAGCTTGGGGTATTCTCACGTGAGGTGTGCGATACTGTGGCACGTTGCGGTATTGTATTGTAGAAATGTGGATTACCGTGATATGCTCCACTGAGTGATGTATTGTGCTGTTTTGTATGGCTACTTTGGAAAATTGCATTAAGCTCCACTTATTTCTGAGTCTATTATGACGCGAAACGTGTTACCTGTGGTATATTGAGAGTTTTGCTGTTGTGTTGTGCAGATGACACTATTGAATTGTGTTTGCGTACCGCGTGATTACATGTGACTTGCAGGGTGTGCTGCATTGTGCATTGTCTCGTGGTAAAGTACAGAATGAACCATTTATAGAAACCCCACTGATTTCTTACGACCCTCTGAATTTTTTCTCAACAATTGATTGAATAGTGTGCAAGTGATTGCTCCATATCTTAAAGGGGAGCGTTAAAATATGTAATACAGTACATGTATTTCGATTGGTGGGAGACGTTTTCGCTATTTTTTCTGCAATGTCTCCTAGTAATTTGAGTGGAGTGTCTATAAATGGATCAGCCAGTGTTTTGCTGTCTCTCACCCACGACCCCTTTGTCTCTTGCAGGCATCAGCCAAAAGCGGCATCAGCTCGCAGTGCAGGAAAGAGTATGAGGTGTGCATACAGGCTGTGGGAACGCATGTAGGGAGTCAGCACCAGTGCTAGAAGGGGAGGAGGTTATTTAATTGCATTTGTGAAGGCGAGGCCCTAAGGCCCAGAGTACAAAGGGACCATCGACTAAAAAACACTAGAGGTAGACTGAGGATAATGGCAGATTTGGAAGGTGCAGCCTAAACATTTCCCTCTTGCTGCTTTCAGCAAATTCAAGCCATGGCTGAATCGTGTGCAGCTGGCCTTCCTCCCAGTAGGGCTGCATGTGCACGTCACATGCATGTCCTCAATTTCCAGGTCAATGTTTTCTCTCTTGTCATTGGCGCCGATGAGAGGGAGGAAATCTGCAAATTTAAATGAATGAAAGCTCGTTGGAAAGTGCACGAACAAATGCAAACCGCATTGTCGCATTGGGAATTTTATAAACATGCACCCTAACATATGAACCTTAACGCGGGACCCCGGGGTCCCGAATAAACGGAAGTAAAAATCGTAATTAATTAATTTATTTTTGGCGACTCCGACCCACCGCGCACATGAACGCCGCGACCCACCAGGCAAGGATCATTTTGTTGTCATGTCCAAGCGCATAGAGGACGAATGTGCAGAAGAGTTGAACAAGCGAATGCACTCCATGCTCGGGTATGGGCAGGATCATAAGTCTTATGCAAGCTGCTCAAACTGCCTACATGACTTAAGTCCTTTACTTGTCATAGCGGTATGCATAATACAGTGAAACTGCTCTCTTATCTTCATTATTTTTGTGACCTACCAATGTCTGCAGCAGGATCAAGCGATGACAATCCTATTACCTGCAGATATTTAACAGATGAGATGTGTTGCGGTTAAGCCATAGTCCCCATATACCGCTCGTATCAATGCGGATAAGAGGAGCGGAGACCCACTACTCTGTAGAGTAACATTGGTATTAACGCTTGTTACAATATGAACAGCGCATTGAAAACGCGTACTATTTTATGTACTGCTTACAAAGTGTGTTCACAAATCCACACTGAGAAACACGATGATTGACAGAGGGGTGTAAATGATTGTTTCGATAGTGTATTTAAATAGAGGTACTGCAGGTAAGTAGTTTTCACTTTTATAGGAATAGTTTAACAACACTTGCCACCATCCTTCAAACCCATTGGTGAAAAAGAGCAAAGTTTCTGTTTCCATTGTAATATAATGTATATGCGAGAGCCGGGGGCTTATGGGACCCGGGGTCCCGCCATAAGGTTCATGTGACAGATAAGCACGTCTGATTTAAAGGGCACTGTTGTCGTTCGGTATTCTATGAAGTCGTTGCTGCAATTTAATTATCCGCGCATTTAATAATGAAAATAATTACATGGGAAATTGCAAACGGATCACTAAGCTTTACAGTAGCAGCTTTCCAGAATAAGAAGAAAATACGAAATACTGTAGTATTACATCAGTAAAAAAGCAAGATAATGCATGTCTTTTTATATGTATTTATGAAGTGGCAAATTTTTTCCTTTGGAATCAAGGCAACCATTAATCACTTGGAGGATTATGAAACAGATACCACATTGTGGGAAGTGAACATAGGTCATCTCGTGTGTGGACTTGACCCCACCATAGAAATGTGGACCTTTTACCACAGCCTTCGGCCGACATATGTACTGTATATAAGGCGCATGTTTGTGGCTTACTTGGAAGAAATCCTGGAATGCCTTTATCAGTGAAAAAAACATAAATATACATGAAGTACTGTACTGTATATAATGTCAACATAAATGTTGCCATTTATGTTGACATTCAGCGTAGAGCGCTGGCATTGTCTTGCCTATTCAATACATTTGCGGTTTGTCACTCAAAAGTAAAAAGTTGTGGGTTGCCTTGGTGCTGTATCGCCACCTCGTGGTGATAACTAGTGCTGAATAGTTAAATTATCAAAGTTGTGAGTTTGATTCATTATTGGTTTATTTTGAATTAGATCATGTAAAATGTGTCGTAAGCCCTCCCCCACCGGACATTTTCAACTGATAGAAGTGTCACGTGATGAAAAAACGTACCAAATGTATTGCTGCTTCAGCAACACCACAACATTTAAATGGCAACGACGTTTCGCTGGAGATTATGTTCAGCATTATCAGGTTGTTAACAAGAGCTCAGATCGACACACATCTTTACAAGGCCTTACCCAAAAAACCCCAATCATGATCATAATATTGGTCGTAAAAGCCTGTGGGAGTTTACTAGTTAACCTTCCATAAAGTTATTTTTATTGAATTAGTTATTAGTTGACAGTTCATGTTTTCCATTCCTGTGTTAGAAGAAGAGTGTACACACTTTTAAACTTCTGAGCGCCATGCCAGTATTTTCACACATTTTATTCTGACAGGTGACACAATCTTGATTAAACATGCATATTCACTGCAACGAATGTTACGTTTATAATAATAAGACACCAATCACATAAATTACGCTGCAATTATTGTTAAACATAATTTAAATTGTTATATTTTAATGATAAGTTGCATGTATCACTAGTTTATTAATATAGCTGGAAATTAGGGAATACAGTGGGCAATACATTCCTTAGTTGCAGAGCATTGTGAGAATGCCAATAATTGTATTGATAAAATGTTATTTTTTCATTTTTTCAGACTGCTTTGTACAACTGTGTCAATCGCAATGAGAGTAAGTGCTGCTAACCACATATCTGAGTCTGTCTCTTCACTTTTAAACGCAGCAGTAAATGCATGTACATCATCAACCATACTCTTATATTTTGTATGTGGAAGATTTCCATTCCCATCCTCCATGAATTACCTGCGGTTAGAATCTGGACAAGTTAGGGGAATGCTGTAAAATCGTGGTAAGCCTTATAAAAAAGCTTAACTTAAGATGCATATTGTTTCAAAATTGCTAAACTGACAGTGATTACTGATTATATTGCAATTATAGGAGTGTAGCATTATATTGAAAACTATACTTGTAGTGTAATCAGTAATTAGCGAGGTACATAAAATAACCCATCTTAACGATGGTAATTGATTGGTTCCATGAAACCGGTCGTTAATTGATTTTGTCGTTAAGCGAGTATAGGAAAAACATGTTAAAGGATTAATTCATTCCGACAGGATATAAATTTACGCTTTTCACCCAAAAACGTTATTTATAATATTTAAACAATGGATATTAATACATAAATATACGAACAAATGTATAAACACATTATTAAAAGAAACATGGGAAATCAATGCATTAATTAATATGTACTGGACCTACAACAGCCCGTCGTTAACAGGGGAATGGTTGGTAAGCGAATACATTGAGCTCGATTGAGGCACTACACATTGGGCTCTATAGAGGCCCGTCTTTAAGCGATTAGTCATTAACAAAGGTGGTCGTTAAGAGGGGTTTTACTGTTGTTAATGCACTGCGCTATGAACGTGACCTCAAGTTCAATTGTCGGCCATGGCTAACATCAGTGGGGAGTGATATTTGAACCGGTCCAACCCACACTCACCAGAATGAAGTATAGTTAAACAACCCCATTTACCGATACGGTGTAAGGAACACCTCCATCCATTACTATGATTGGAAATGAATTAGTATCTGCTGAAACCTAAAGTAAAATTCACAGAACTGAAAGTACTGTACACACATATCAATAGACACAATCGGGTTAACCCAAAATGAGTAGTGTAAATAAAATGTATTGTTTATGGATGCATTCCATCTTTGTGCACATTGAGACCACAAATCTTATTCCAGGAAAACCTGCGTTATGTAAAAAAAACACATACGGCATTAGAAAACAGCTGCAAGAAACATCAATGCCAATTGTAAAGCCTTATTCTGCACGAGACGTAAGTTAAACATCTATGAAAAAAGAGCTTCAGAGCTCATCGGATTCCTCCAGTTCTGATTTATGATAAAAAGAAACGCGCGTGCCGCTTCCTCCGCGTGCAGTGGGCTCCTTGTGCTGCAGCCACGCGGGGCGCCACACCAACTGCCGGGAGTACTGCCAGGCCATCTTCCGCACAGACTCGGCACCAACTCCCAACCAGATCCGCACGGTCGAGAACTACTGCAGTGTCGCGAGCCCCGCGGTCGTGCGCTGCTTCGACAACTACACACAGTCCTACCCCGCGCGCAACCCCCTCGACAGTGAGTACGCATGGCTTCCGTCCACCTGGAATGAATGAACGCCGGCAAAAGGGATTGAACAACTCGGACGTCCAGAATAAACAACTCATTCGGGTTTCAAACGTCACACTTATTGGCTCTGACATCCCTTAAAGATGCTGGTGTGTCATCAACCGTATCAAAACACAATTAGACCGATGCGCACGTCTCTTTTATGAAATTAAACATTTAAGACGCAAGCCACAGTGCGATTGTGGCCGTGTAACCCAAACGATGGATCATATAGTGACCCGCTGTAGTCTGTGCTCCTTCAGAGGAGTAACAAAACTACATGAACTCTAACTCCTGCCTGAAGACCTCTCGTCGCGTGGCTTATCAGACCTCGACATTGCCATTGAGCTCCTGAGCATATTTCCATATGGAAGAATATAACGAACGAATGCCTGATTGTCCGGTGTGATACAGCATTATCTTTGCAAGCGAAACACCGTGATGGAAAGCATTCATTGGGTGCGTAACCAGCTCATTCAGGTCTGCCAGTGAGTTCCTGTTAAATATCCAACACATCGTGTTGTCGAATTGCTGCATTACGAACCCGGCAACACGAGTCCAATTCACAGTCCCGTCCAACACCGGTGATGATTATCTGAACCGGTCCCGGGTCTCCCCTAGGTCGACTGAGCCTTAACTCAGTACCCGATGCGGTGCGTGTATATAAAACATCAGCACTGGTGGAAACAAAGGTGGGCGGGTTTGTTGCTGGGCACCCACCCCCGTGTGTGCTGGTGCCGGCCTTCATAGGTGCTCGCTAACAATACTTGCCCCTACAGTCTACGGCTCTACGGGGGTCCTTGGTCTTTGTATTGGCTACCAGTCAAGTATCAGGTGATCGATAAGATCCTGCTACTGACCTACAAGGCACCCCATAGGTTAGCCCCGCAATATTTGCAGAAACGGATCCATATTTATTCTCCAACCAGGTCTCAGAGATTTTAAGATCACCTTTTAATTATGCCGAGGTCAAGGCTCGTGTCCTGGAGTAATCACCCCTTTTGCCAGTGCAGCTCCCAGGCTTTGGAATGCTTTTCATGTACAAAGAAGATATTCAGAGTCGTTTATAGCTATTTAAGTCGGTCTTGAAAACTCACTTCTTTAAAATGGGCCTTTACCCCCCCCTCGCTCCCGCCTAGTTCTTTCCGTTGACCCTGCAGGTTCTGGTTATACCCCACTTTCCATGCGCAGTGGCGCATCGGGCATCTACGGACGAAAGGCACCTCTTCACAATCGTAAATTATCCATAATGAAGGTTTTTTCCCCAAGACACCAGTGTGCTGTACTAGTAACGAATTTGCAAGTTCTGTTCACGTGACAAACCTTATGAATTGGCTGTGTCGGGTGGTGACGGGTTTAGCGACACATGTATATTTACGCAATGTAACCCCCCCACCCAAAAAAAACTCTATTATGGATGATATTGGTCGTGAAAGCCTACTACGTGTTTAAACAAACGTAAATGACGAACGACCGCTGTTGACTGTGCGCGCGCACGAAGGCCTCCACTGCTGCGAGCGCGCGGCGGACTCGAAGTGCGAGGCGGCATGCCGCCGTGTGCTCGTCACCATCGCGTCGGAGCAGGAGATGGTGGAGGGCCTCATCGAGGGCTGCGGCCGGCAGCCTCTGCCACAGGACCCGCTCTGGCAGTGCTTTCTGGAGGGCGCCGACACGGGGGGCGGCCGGCGGCGTGCGGGCGGCGGCGGCGGTGCGCAGGACGCGGCCTCCTCACCCACGGGCCTGGATGGAGCCAAGCTGCAGTGCTGCTCGCGAGCCAATTCCCCGCACTGCAGGTGGTTGGCTCGCGTGAAACCCACGAGGGCCGGCTTGCATTCCTAAAAAGCGTTCGCCGAAGCGCCTCGGCAGTGACGCAAAGCGTCTCGCATCACCGCTTTTCATCTTAACCGTTCCAATGTCCTGCAGTAGGTTTGTTAAGGTGGACCCCCACCCACAACTACCTCGTGGCAGCTGTTCCCGTTTGGTGCCAGGTGATCGGCAACACCGTTTGTCAATCCACTGCGTGAATGGGGTCTCTCCTTGCCATGCTGCTCACGTGGGTTTATACCAGGGGTCGGCCACTAAAATAACAAAAAGAGACATTTAACGAAAACATCTAATTCGGTACAAAACTCAATAATTCAAGAGCCACAATGCATGTGAATACATTCTCACATTACGTCACGAAGCACTCCGTAAAGAGCCGCACGTGGCCCCCGAGCTGCAGGTTCCCGACCCTCGGTTTAGACCAGCGGTCGGGAACCTGTGGCTCGCGAGCCATATATGGCTCTTCCGGTGACGGCATATGGCTCCCAGACAATTTTGAGTTGAAAAAAATAATAATAAAAAAATAAAAATAAAATCAGTTTGGAACTGATTTTAAAATACTTGTGATATTGCTTAATAATACTGTGTCATTTTAAAGTAAACAGAAATTAGTTTTGAAGATACAATTTCTCGGGTCACGGGTCCCGTGACCAGAAGTCACATTAAAAGTAAGACATATTTAATTTATTATACGTTAAAAATACTATATGGCTCTCAATGAAATATATTTAGAAATATTTGGCTTTTATGGCTCTCCCAGTCAAAAAGGTACCCGACCCCTGGTCTAGACCATACTTTGTGTGTATGTTGAACTTCTTTCGCACCATACGTAGTCAACCGTGCCATGCTGGGCAGTGTAGGTTAGTGAAAGTGGGCATTTGACTTCCACTGCCCTCTATTGTCCACCATGCAGCTCCGCAGGCCGATGGGAACCTGCTTTTGAAAGGTGGTTACCCATCCAAGAGATTATCCAGGCTCAAATCCAACTTAGCTTCCAATATCTGATGAGATCAGAAGATAAGTTTGGTCGTATGAGAGTGACAAATGTTGGTTATTGGAAAAGTGGGTTGCTTTGGGTTTCCAATGTTTTCCTTGTGATATACAATTTCCCCCCACAGTACGTAACGATGCATCAATTTATCTATTAAAATATATCACGCATCAAGTGCGTGATAATCGTTTTCTTTTGTTTTATTAGCACTGTATATGTTGCACATGATAGGCCATCGCAGCCACCGGAAGAGCTACGAATCCCACAATGTTGTATATATGGAATTGATTTTTGAATTGAATTGCGGCCGCCGAATCGTGACACTCTAATAGGGAGGAGCACGAGTCGCTACGTGCATCGTTGCGATTATTCGACCCAGTGCTGTTCACTAATTTATGAGAGGGGGGACACCTTCGCCGATAAAACATCATCAGTGTGAGTGCCACCACACCCGCCTGCCAAGGGGGTGTTTTTACCATTCGTGTATTGTCGGGGGGCTGCACGTCAGGGGCCGCACTAAAGGTCACCAGGGTGTCGCCAGTGGCCCGAGAGCCTTGCAATGAGGAAAAACTGCATTATACCACAGTAAAGTAAACCTGATAAAGAGAATATCGCAGTTACTGTTATTTCTGTTCTATATTCGGGCAATGGGTGGCACCATTTCCCCACAGCAAAGGGAAGACACAGCCAGCAGAGTGGTCTGGCAGAGTTCGTATTGTTTGCTCTTTGTGTTTGGTTTTCCTTTTTTAGTCAGCACACTGAACATGACCAATGTTTGTTTTTTTTGTGCAGTGCTGCGTTGATGTATGATCTGGCTGGTTCGTGCTGTGGCAGAGCACCAAAAAGCTAGGGGTTCAGCACATCATCCTTCGGAGGTCAATACAAGTAGTACCTTGTCCTCAAATCCAAGGGGGGTCAATTAGGGCAGAGGGAGCCTCAAAGGGCACCTCATCTGGAATTTTGCTCAGACCGTCCAAAAACCTTTCAGTGGCTCTGCTTAAATCATTATGGAGATGCTTGCTATTTCCAGCGATAGTCCTGACAAAGTAGTGGAAATTGCAAAATCCTGTAAGAAGGAACAATTTTATTCATGGTACATGCACTGTTGACTTTCCACAAATACTGTATTGAAAACATTGACTCTTTGTGACATTGTTTATGACATCAACCACCAATTATATGAAACATGTCAATGCCTCAATGCAGCAGTAGATCACATTATTGAACCCAAGTGGCATATGGGACCAGTTTTCTCTCTAATTTGTTTTTGGGTTGTGAGCCTTTTATAGGTGTTTTCAGAATGTGCAGGGAATTGTTGGACATCGTGCCGAACAACACATGGTACAACCTGAAAACACATGGGCGCTACACATCACAACCGCAAAAACCTACGTGGCTGCATATAGCACAAAAGCAGAAGGCCACGTGGCTGATAGAATGCGTTAAAAAATGCGTATTTTCTACGTGGAGAGAAAAATGTGGGAATGAGCAGTAGTATAAGACAGTCTAGTTCTCTCCTCTGATACCGGAAAAATTAAGGCCTTGATATTTGAGCCGATCGCCCATTCTCCCTTGCTTACTGGCATATTTGTGTGTCGCCTCCCCCCCCCCCCCGTCTCTCTTGCTGTGGTTCAGGGATCTATGCGTTGGACTCTTCAGCATGAGCTGGGGTAGTGCCCAGAGCTGGCAGGAGTTTGAGCGGGAGTGTGAGTACCGACTCCAGGAGCCATCCATGATGGGCTGCCTTGCGGACGTGCGAGAGCCGTGCCAGCTGGGCTGTCGGGACCTCAACTACTGCACCAACTTTAACAACAGGTGTGTGTGTGTGCTTAAAGCAAATCCTTAGACAGCCCAATGGTTAGTTGTTTTTGTGCGTGGGATCTATATCTAGGAATATGACCACTGCAGGCAGTGGCAGTTCATGATTTCTGTTTGTGGGGGCTACAAGCTTCATCTCGGGTTTTTACAGTCTCAGGTGGCATGCACAGGTGGATTTAGGAATGGCTTCGTATGTGCTTGCTTTGCTAAATAAGCATGTACAGTCCATGCAGCTTCTCAGACGCCCAGTACTGGTGCATTCATTTCTGGTGCGTAATTATCATCCACTTTGAAGTTGATTGTAGCTTCCAAAATTGGACCTATTTTTTATTTAAATTGATATATGTCATACGCATAGTATAAATGGATACACCACAGTTAGTCGATTGGCAGATCGTTGTGTGGTGGGGCGATGCAGTGGTATTCATTTTGACCTCTTCCAAGACATCTGGTCAGTGTGGAAGAGTAGGAAAAAATTCCTTCTACAGGAGCTTTCTCGAGCTCCATCTAAAGGAGGCCCTTCTACCAGTAGCGACTAGAGCGAGCGATTGCAGGGCTGCACCTTTACCCTTTGCCACCTGTCATACATCCAGTTTCAGCACATTACATGAAACATTTTGGACGTGCATCATATCCGAGCGCTATTCAGGTTCAATCGTGCTCAGGTTGCAAAGTTTGTAGTGTGCGTCCTTTTCGGTGTGTTGCCTTTTTTGGCTACATCTCTCTCTTTCGTTGACTACCGGCCATAATTCCTCCTTCTCGAGTCTTGCCCAAACGTTTCTTAACAATCAACGTCATGTCTCTGACTCACGTATGTTCTTCGATCAATTTGTTCCACTCTGCCTCTCAGTGTAATATCAAGCATTTACCACTCCACGCTTATTTTGTACGCTTTCGCTCCATTTTGTCATTGTTTAAGTTTCTGACCTCATAACAACTCGCTGTGCTTGTTGGTCACCCACCTAAGAAACATCCTGACATGATCCAGCAGTAAAGCATTCACCGCTTGTTGTAGAGGTTAATGGTTTGGATGCAGCGGCCACCCTGGTTATTATTGCGGATGCATTAACCATAAAAAATACATACCGTCTGCTTCAAAATTCCCATGATATCATTCGCAAGAGAAGGCCATTGTGACCTCGCATTATGGTCCAAATTTGTAAACTTTGAAAACGTACCTGCAAATTGCTCAATTGGGATTGCACATAGCAAATATCGCCCCCTACTGTGAAAAACTTTGCGGGACCCTTCTGAAAAAGTCAAGAGCTTCAGTGAGGCTTTCCCAGCTGAAATAATCCCTTGCTGATCTTTCAAGATTTGAAAAGGTCAGGCGTCTTCTAGGTGACTTGATCAAAGGCCAATCGGCAATAATCTGAAAAAATGACAACTAGTTGACTCACTAGTTTATAGATAAAAGCCATGCTATGCAATACATTATTCTCACAAAGAAGGCGTGCGACCCTGGCAGGCCGACGGAGCTGTTCCGTGGATGCAACGCGCAGGCTGACCAGGGTGCACTCAATGACATCCGCCTGTGGGAGCGCGGCACCATCCAGATGCCCTTCCTCATCATTCCCGTCAAGGACATTCGCCGCTGCCAGCCCGAAACGTGGAAGGCCATCGCATGTGTGCTGCAGATCAAGCCGTGCCTCGGTAGCTCTCCTGTTGCCATCATATGCAGGTGGGGAACTCTTGCGGCGGCACAGGAAGCACCGCCACGCACCCCTTCCCAAATAAACAATGTGATGAGCTGTCTGGTTCATTTATATGTATGTAATGCGGTGTGAGTGGACTAGTGGCCACGGGAAGTAATGACAGGGGAGTCAGACTACAGTGCGAATGCACTAGTGGCCACGGGAGGTAATGACAGGGGTATCAGTTGTGAGTGTTAAGAGACTGATGGCTACGGGAATGTTTGAGAAGGGAGCATAGTCAGGTAACGGAAGAGGACGGTAGAGTCTGCCGGTGGAGCGAGTGTCCTGAGTTAGCGAGAAGGTTCGGGAAGGGGGGCGTGGCCTCGGTTGGTATATAAGGGGATGCACGGGAGACTCAGGGTCGTTGCAGTGGGGTCTCCGCCTAATGTCAAGTGAACTTGTCTTCAATAAAGTGCCATCTCAAGAAATGTGTGTCAACTCATTACATATGTATATTTGTTCTCTATGTTCATGAAACATGTGTCGAATTGTGCATGTAAGAAATTATGCAATGTCAAGTTTATGGAAATATTTTGTTTTTGCTAATGAAACAGAACAAATGATAAACAATCAAAGAGATAGCGAGTTAAAAAATAATAATGTTAGGATATAATCATAACCCCAAATTTTTATAATTCATCGAATCTCTGGGGGGAGTGAATGATTACACACCGAACATTAAACTGTTATTAGAAACTAGCCTTTTGCCCGTCCAAGGACGGGTGTATTTCAGTAAATCTGAAACTTGCAAGTGAAAAGCAGATCACGACGTGATATTCATTGCCTCAATTCGTGTGCAATTTGTAAGGCCGCGGTGACACAGACTTATTTCATTTAAAGGTTATAATCCTTTGTTCATCATGACGTCCTTTTTACTTCTATGTCTCAATAGCGTTATTGAGATCGCGTGAAGTTCAAGTTCATGTATTTGGTATAGCCCTGTGAGCCATTCGGCTCTTGAATCGGGTGCAACCGCAACAAACAAAAAACAAAAACGTGAACAAAAAAACTTCTTAAAGTGAATATGTGACTGAGTGCAAACAGAAAATCTAAGAAAAGACAGCAAAATATTGCAGAAAAAACACCGTACACCAACGCTGTGTGCAAAAATCCCAGTGGGATGCAAGTCAAACAACAACAACAACAAGACAACTTAGATTAAGGCCATCAGTCTAACTCTGTACTACAGCAAAAAACATGGCTAAACCAATACACTTTTCGAAATCACCAAAATAAAGCCATGAAAGCAATGAAACAGTGATCATAGGAACTCGGAAAAACCGAGGCAACTTATTTTACTAAGCAGGATGTTGTGGTCTACTGTATCAAAAGCTTTGGACAAGTCAAGAAAAAGACAGGCGCAGTACTGCTTATTATCAAGGCTACTGTAAATGTGATTCAGAGAGTCTAATGCTGCAGATGTGGTGCTGTATTTTTTTCGGAACCCAGATTGTTTTAGATGTAATATATTGTTGGCGGACAGGAAACTGCTAATTTGGTAGTGAAAATTTTTTCATCAACGGGGACAAAATTGAGATAGGTCCGTAGTTATTTGGATCATCTTTAGGGCCCCCTTTGTGAAGTGGACGAACATAGGAATGTTTCCATTCCAGAGGAACTGATGCTTCTTTGATAGACAGGTTGAAAATATGGACTATAGGTTTGTATATTAGGTGACCAACAGTTAGTAGAGCAAAGACAGGAATACTATCTGCTCCGGTAGAGGAGGACCCTTTGAGGTAGGACAGTTGTTTCAGAACATTACTTTCGTGGATTGGCTGAAAACTAAATTCGTTTAATGTTTGGATAGGGGTGTAGGAATTTGCATGAGCAGGGGTGACTCCCAATACATTATCAAATAGGGTACCAGCTTCAGAAAAATGAAGGTTAAAATTGTCAACTATTTTTTGGGGATCTGAAAAATATTCCCCATTTCGGTTAAGCTCAACGGGCAGATTATCTGTTTTGGATACCTTTTCGATACATTTGATTGTTTTCCAGAAAGTCCTGGCATTTCCATGTGATTCAAGGAGAGTGGAAGAAAAGTAGTCATTTTTTGCATGCCGTATTTTTTTGACGCATCTATTACTTAAAATCCTGTATTCTAGCCAGTCATTGACCTAATTACTTTTCTGAGCACATGCCCACCCCTTGTCCCTAGTTTTCATGAGCTTTGTAATCAAAGGATCAAACCATGGTGGCCTTTAGTTTTAAATTAACCAACGGAGCATGTTTGTTAAGAATTTGGAGAAACGTTTACCTGAAAGTCTCCCAAGCCGTAGTCAGGTTTGGGATATCACAGACCTTGTCAATATCCAAGTGAAGCACATCATTAGTAAATGCCTGATTGCTGAAGTGTCTCATGGAGTGCTTCTCAACCAATTTAGGGGGGGGCTTTCGGTCTGGCTGATGATCTCACCCCAAAAATGAAGGAGTGATCACTAAGGTTATTACCCAGAACACCAGTCAGTGCGAAATTGTGAGGGGCATTTGTCAATAGGACGTCAAGCAGAGATGACTGTCCCGGATTTTTTTGTTTGGGTCTTGTGGGGACATTTATTAATTGAAACAGGTTAAATTCATCTGCAAAATTTGTGGCCACGGCCAGCGCGTTTAGCCAATTCCAATTTAGATCACCCACTAAGACTTTCACCTTTAGGGAGGCCCCCAAGAAGCTCTCTCAGTGCAGATGCAGCTTCAACATCTGTCCCACTAGGCGGTCTATAGCAGCACACTACCAATATCTGTTTATTTTTAGGGAGAGTTATTCTGAGAGCCAGACCTTCAAAGCAACATTTTTTAAACAAGGAGTGAGCTGGTGAACATGCAATAGTATTACGAACATAGATGGCAATTCCACCTCCTTTAGATCCTCGGTCAAGCCGAAAAAGGTTGTAGTTGTCAATCGTAATCTGCAAGTCATTGACGGCAGGGGTGAGAAATGTTTCTGTTAGGCAAAAAATGTCCGGGTCTAGATTTGCTACTTCTAGTTTTAGTTGACTTAATTTAATTACAAGCTCTCTGATGTTGACGTGTAGAACACCAAAACCTTTTCTGCCAGAAAAGTCTACAGAATTAAATGAGTTCTTTACATTTGACAGTGGTGCACAAGCACATATAGCAACACAAATATAAACACACTAGCCTTTTGCCCATCCAAGGACGGGTGTATTTCAGTAAATCTGAAATTTGCAAGCGAAAAGCAGACCGCGACGTGATATTAATTGCATCAATTCGTGTGCAATTTGTAAGGCCGCGGTGACACAGACTTATTTAATTTAAAGGTTATAATCCCTTATTCTTAGGTTTTTTCGGTAAAGTCACGTAGGTAAAACATCAAAATTAATAAAAATAAAATAAAATAAAGATCACGACGTGGTGATCTTTATTTATAAAAATAAAATAAAGATCACGACGTCGTGATCTTTATTTTATTTTATTTTTTTTATTAATTTTGATGTTTTACCTACGTGACTTTACCGAAAAAACCTAAGAATATGAATCTTTGCAGTCACGAAAGCTTCAAATCTAGAATTATAATCCCTTCTTCATCATGACGTCCTTTTTACGTTGATGTCTCAATAGCGCTACAGAAATCACGTGACGTGAGGGTTCTGTCTTTGTAGTGAGGGTTGTAAGTTGACGCTGAGGAGGGGGAGGAGGCGCCTCGCCCCCCCATGTGGAGTGACGTCACCCGCTAATTATTATTAATGGCGGGGGGGGGTGTCCATTTGGAAGACGTCATCTCTTCACGATTATTAATGAGCGGGGCTCTTCGATGTGTAGTGACGTCATCTGCTCATGATTATTAATGAGGGGGGGGTGCTGCATGTGTAGTGACGTCACCCGCTCATGATTATTAATGAGGGGGGGGGAGTCTATGCATAGAACGTCACCTGTTCATGATTATTAAGGAGGGGGGCTGGCCGACGTGGAGTTACGTCACGCGCGGGACACACAGACATTCTTGGCTCATTATAGTAGTAAATTCCAAACAATTCTGTCATTAAAGATGCCACGTAAATATGATGATGATGCAATTTCAGAAAAAGAATCATGAGTGCAGCTTTGGTCGTTGTACTGTCATTGATGTTCATGCTGGTAGCTGATGTGGTCATTATGTGTATGTATGTTGAACTTCTTTTGCACCGCACATAGTCAACCATGCTAATCGGAGGTGCGAAATGTGTATGATCATGGACAGGTCTGACTGTGTGGACATCTTGGAGCAGTGTGGGGACATGGACCGCTTTCCTGCCGGACACTCGGCTGACACAATCTGCGACATCCTCTCGCCCACAGATGAGCCGGAACAATGTATCCCTCTCTCACGCTACCTTAGTAAGTTTCACATTCATGCATCTTGTCACGAGTGGCTTGCATACTTTGTACTGGGCAGCGATTACACCACCAAGCTTAAGATAAACTGGTCAGAATAGGCATTGACGTAGCGTGTGTTGGCATAGGCTCAGGTGCAAGGAATAAATCTGGCCCTTCTGTCAAATTTCCCCTGACATGGTGTATCCCAGAAGTTATACTGCCTACGCATTCAATAGCTGTGTCACTGGGAATAGGTACCAGTGGCCTACTTTTATAAAAGATATGTAAATGTACCATTTTGTTAGTCTACTGCTGGATGAGGGTCCCCAATTGCATGCGGATCATTTGGGATATTTCACCATACTGCCAATATTTCTGTATGTTGATTCATGCAGTTTGGTGAAGGTGTGGAGCATAGATGTGGGAGCATAGAGTAGTACAACAGTGAATTTTGCTCTACTATGTAGCCCTGCAGTCTATAAAAACGTGCTGTGAATGTATGTTCAACTTCTTTCGTACCGTACATAACCAACAACACACATACAATCACATGCAACACAGCACTGTAGATGTGCTGTGCCGCATGTGATTGTATGTGTGCGTTCATTGAGACGCGAACAGCTCATTAATTCTATCATGCCGCGATCAATGCACCGAGTATGCCTGTCTTTCTTACTTTGATTCTATCTGTAGTGCCCTATTTAATTTCATAGCGTTCAGAATTAGGTTCATATTGGTAGTTATATATATTTAAAAAAATCTCTCAGAAGAAATTTTCCAAACAAACATGGTAGAGATCTTTCAGTGGTAGAAGGCATTTTCAGGAGGAGGTCTTTGAGAGGAGGATTTATGAAAGAGGCCATGAGAGGTGGGGGACGCCATCTTGTCAGGATCGAGATAGGCATCTTTATGTAGTCTGGGGTGCGTTGCTCCCATTCTCAACACGTTAATTGTGATCAGGAGTTCACAAGGACTGTTCTATAACCCAGAGATACATGTTAGTAGAAAACGGTGATTACTTTAGAGCCACTAGTAAATATGTCGAGAGCGCTGTGGCAGATTTGTGAAGTATGGGAGGTCGAATGCCTCATGCAACCTTCTTCTTGCCTGGAACTGCATGGTGGGCTGGAGCTCGATATGATTCTGACACCTGTGAGCCCTTCTACCTCTGCAACTGTGGCCCAACGTAAATAATTTATCAGATGATTTGAATTCAGATATAAGTTCAACTGATTGTATGATGGCTCGGCAAAGAGAGACGACCGGATTGCCAGGCAAATAGGCAGTTAATGGTTGTATATATTGTCATTTTTTTAATTAAATATAAAAATTTATATTCTATGGTTCTTTTGGTGAAGTCACATAGATAGAACAATAATAACAAAATAATAAAAATTAAAATAAAGTGAATACAAAAATAATAAAATATCACGACGTTTCGATCGCAACACAAGCGGTCGTCATCAGGAACAGGGAGGTTAGCCCCTGAGGGCAAGCTGCTTATAAAGGTTTAGAGATGGGCGGGGCAGCTAATGTTAATGTAGGAGAGGGCCCCGACCCCGGCAGTAGGTCTACACCAATCAAAGCATTGCACCTCACTCTACAGACTCACACTGCTGACGGTGGAGGTGGACAAGAAAACACAAATCATGTTATGACCCAAAGAGGTTGATGACATCTTTCCAATGATTGCTAAGTTTAAAACCGTCGTCTCGGTTAAAATTGTGTCTGTGTCTGTATATATGGATGGCTCTGTGAACGAATCTTTTTTGATAGCCAGTCGGCTTGCAAAGTACCATCGTCTTAGAGAAATACATTTCAGGTGAGCCAGCCGTAATGATTAAAGTAATGATCAGCCACGGCAGAAGTATTGGTCCTGCCGTGTTTCAGATTTGCCTTATGTTTACGAACACGGTCTGAGACATGTTGTTTGGTTTCCCCAATGTAACTGCTGCCGCAGATACAACTTAGTTTCTAGACGCCGGGATATTGCATGTCAGGAATCTTGTCCTTCACAGATGGGATCAGATCACGAATTTTATGCACTGTGTTAAATCGGACCTGGATCTTGTGTTTGTTCAAGATTTAGGACATATTTTTGGTTATCCCTGCTATGTAAGGTAAGGTGACGGTTTTGATTGGATCTTCAGATGGCTCCTTCCTCACGGTTGGAGTGGTGGCTTTGCGGATTGTGTAGTCAAAATATCCATTCGCCTTGAGAGCCTGGTGTACGTGTTTGAGTTCACTGGTCAGGTGTTCATGGTCGGAGATACGTTGAGTTCTTTGGTGTAGCGTTTTATGAGGGGATTCTTTTGGGATGGATGGTGGTGGGAATCAGGTTTTAGGTAGGCGTCAGTATGGCTCACTGTTCATAAACTCTTGGAAGTGCTTGCACAAATGATAGTAACATCTCATCCTGTGTTCTTGGAATCAGTATGCACTGCTGTATGTAAAGCAGGTACCACCACAGCAGTATGCACTGATGTAATCATAGCAGGTACCACCACAGTCGGTATGCACTGTTGTAGTGAAAGCAGGTACCAACACGGTCTGTATGCAGTGCTGTAGTGAAATCAATGCAATACATAATGCAATGCAATACATAATTTGCATGGTGGCATCACAACAGTGTCCCAGATGTGTGTGTTGCAATTAAGCTTGTCTCAAGTGAGCCCGGTGTGCGTGTGTGTGGTTTTGCACGTGTGTGCGCTTTCTTGTGCTGTGGTCACGCAGCCCCAGGATCCATCAACAACGGTGGTGGCGGCAGCAGTGGCGGTGGGGGCAAAGGTTGGGGGCCGGGGGGGTCTGACAGTGGTGGGGTCTTGTCTGGAGTCAGCTCTGAGGAGGTGGTCCACCCGTGCAACCCCAACCCGTGTCCCACGAGTCACCTGTGTGAGGTGAACCGCAAGGGCTGCACGCCGGGTCAGGACTGTCTGCCCTACCTGTGCGTACCAGGTGAGAGGCTGTAGACACAGTGGCTGATGAGGCCTGTGAGTGGTTGATTCAGTTTTAATCTACGTAAAATGAAGATTAAGTAAATGGTTTACTTGCAGGCATTTGTGGTCAAGTGGGCACCTGAGTCATGAGCCCTTGACGAGTAAAGAACAGCAAATATTTCAACTATTGTGCGTGTACATTTTCAATGCTTATTTTCGCAAACGTGTAACGACTCCAGGAGACACTGCTCTTGTGATGATTCTTTATTGAAGACACGTTCACTTGACAGGCGAAGACCCTGACTCCAAAACCAGCCTCGAGCCTCTCCTCTCGACCCCTTTTTCTTCCCAGCATGGCCATCCCTTGACCCTTGGCCACGTCCCTTCTCTCGAACCCTCTAAATTGCTCTCAGTCCCTGATCTCCACCTGCCCCCTTCTATCACTTGGCCACAACCCCTATTCTCGATCCTTCTCGTAGACTCCAGATCGTTCACCTGTCTGTCCCTTAACCTGATATTACCCCCTATGGCCCCTAGTCTCTCTCCATGCTAATTCCCTTGTCATTACCCCCCGTGCCTACTATGTCAATTAACCTGTCATTACCCCTTGTGGCCCCTAGTCTCTTCCTTTGCTAATTCCCCTGTCATTATCCCCTGTGACCGCTAGTCCCCTGTACTGTCTTTACACATGTTAAAACCACCTCCTGGTTAATTTGCTGACAAAGAACGGAGATTTACCTGTAAAAAAAACAAATAATATGACTAAATTATCATTTATCAGAATACAAAAAAAAATCTCAATTTTCACCGGCATTGCGTATAAATAATGAGTGGTACTTTTTATACTGTCATCGAATGCCATTTGTACACCATGTTGGGGCCCATTGATATAGACTATAGGTTCCTGAGCTCCTTGTCAGAAGGTGATCTCCACTAACCGCCTATTTAAACATTTCATCACGTCTAACCCCCTCCCTCAACCCCCTCTACCTGTGCATAGGCTGCAAGCTAGGAGAGGCATCTGACTTCCTTGTGCGGAAGGACAGTATGGTGCGGGTGCCGGTGGCCTCGGGCGAGGTCGGTTGCTACCGCCTGTGCTCGTGCGGGACAAGCGGGCGACTCGAGGACTGCGCCGAGACTCCCTGCCTCGACACTCGCTCCTGCATCGTCGGGGGACAGCGCAAGAGTACGCAGGACCCCCAAAACGAACTCTGCCATGACGGAGACACTGCCTTGGTCATCACGATCATCATTATCAACCATGATCAATCCACTGCTAGATGAAGGCTTCCCCTAGCACTTTCTTGATGTCACAGTGGTAAATACAGCAGCCTGGGTTTGATTTCCCACTATGCACTTCAGTGGTAAGTGGTTTCTGAAGCTGTCCAAGGCCTCCCTTTGTCTAAATTTATAGCCCTTTTTTATCATTCAACTGCCTCCCTGTGCCATTGGATTGTGAGGGTTATTTTAACATACTTTATAATGTCTGGTTAGTTTGTATTGGTGACGGTGTGTAGTGTAGATGTTAGAGCATAGAAGTACAGAATAACAATACATTTTGATGCAATGCCCACTGCTGCCCCACATCATTTTAGACCTGTTATGCAAAATGGTCATCCATCCAAATACGAGATTAAACATTGCTTAGCATCTGAGATCTGATTAAATGTGGTGCTCTCCAGGTTATTTGGTCAAAATACTGATGAAACATCAGATTTTGGGAGGCATAGTTGGCTGGGCGGGGTGTTGTGGGGGACCATATATCTTCTGTGCTGTGCTGATCTTTAGAGGGGCACGCTAACAAACACTAGTCCCTTTGGTCTATAAGGATAAATTGGCAAACTTTGTGTGTATATGCGAGACCTTGACTTTTGCCTGCGTGCGCGCGTGCCCACAGGCCACGGCACACACTTCCGAGTGGACTGCAACGTCTGCTCCTGCTTCGCTGGCGAGCTGAGCTGTTCCGTGCGCCAGTGCCTAAGTGGAGAGAGCAGTGAGGAGGATCGCCGGCGCTTCACAGGTTCCAGTAATAACAATAACTACTACATTCGGCTAGTCACGCTATTCTCATCATGAAGGAGCTATGTTTGACATACGGATGTAATCACCAGTAGGGGGCGATGCTGCAGTTCAGTTTTATACAATAAGGCCTGTGCTTTTCACCTACAAAAGATTGTTGAGTGTACACACACATGCACACGCACAAGTAAAATATGTGATCGATCATCCCACCGCCCCACCCCAGGCCTGCCGTGTAACTGTGCCGACCAGTTTGTGCCCGTGTGCGCCATCAATGGACGCACGTACCCCAATGCATGCATTGCCCGCTGCACCGGCCTTCAGGACAGTGAGATCGAGTATGGAACGTGTGCTACCCGCGACCCCTGCAGCCCCAGCCCCTGCCCGTCCGGCCAGCGGTGAGAAGTTTGTTGTTTATTTATCTATCTATCTCTGGTAGTTGCTAAGCACAAGGGTCTAAAGGCCCAAAATCGCCATGCGGCCACCGCCAACAAACTCGGAGACGATAAGACTTGGAGGCACTTCTTTATTAACAAGCACCATCGGGATTAACACTCTTAATAATTAGTCCGTCTATTGTCGGCGACGCTACTCAGCCAGGACAGTTGTTAGGCTGCCTGACTAGCGGCGCCCCGAGATGGTGAAGATGGAGATGACGACGAGAAGAATGGTGAAGACGACGAGAAGAATGACGAGAAGAACGGTGACGAAGGCTTCAGCAGCACGATGGGAATCCCACTCCAACAACAGCCCCGAGGTCCCCTACAGGAGCCCCTCTTATACTGTCAGCGTGGCCTCGCTCCACCCCCGGCCACGCTCCCTTTCTGGAACCTACGAGCGGGTTCCTGGTGTGCCCCTTCTGTGACCTTTCCCCTAGATCCCCCTCTCGTGTCTATCCTGGCCTGCTGACGTCAGGACTGCCGTACGCCGCAGATCCCCTTTCCTGCCAGCAGCCAGTGCTATGCCACTACACGTTTATTGAATTGAACACGGTTATAAGATTTGGACTAGAGATGATTGGAGGGAATTTTCCAAGGTTGAGCAGTGTGAGGAATATGCAGAGGGGTGCTTGGACCAGAAGTTTTGTGGCTGAATACAGTATGGTGGACTGAATCGATCAGGTCATAACAATCCTGGTGTCAATTGTTGCACCGCGGCGCTTGGTGCTTTTCTTCATCAGTCCCCTTTCGCTTCCCCGGTATTACGTTTGCGCTGTAGGTGCGTGCCGACGCGCAGGGTGTGCCTGAGCTCGCTAGAGCAGTTCAGCTGCGAGCAGTTTGAGTGTCTCTCCCGGCAACCGGCCTGTGAGGGGCAACCCCAGGAGCCTGCGTGCGACACCACCAACACGGAGCACCCGTCCCTGTGTGCCCTCTACGTACGAGGGCGTTCCCTGGCCTACACCGGACCGTGCCAAGTGAGTGTCCATCGCTGGCAGGTTTGAATCCTCAGCGTGTTTACACAAAGCATACACAAGAACTGACGTTCCCAGGTTGCTTGTGTCAGGAATTACACGCATTTTTCTGGGCGTGAATGATACTTTTTCACCCAGTCTACTTTTAAACGGTTGTGAGCCGATGTGATGGTAGTTTGTAAAACGTGGTTTCTGCGCAATGGCACTCAAAATACTATTGGAATCGGATTAGTAAAATAAAATTGATGAAAAAAATGGGAACTAAATTAAGTGATTGTTCACATGCCTGACCAGATTAGTGTATGTTTCACATCATGGCTGCAGAGTTGTCACACATACAATTTTTTGGTCTCATACCTCTGTAATGTTCAGCTTAGATATTGTGTGAACATTTCAAGGTAGTTCCAGTGCAGTTTAAGATGTTCTCCCTGCAAGTATGAGAAGATTCATTACTTGCAATCCATTGACTAGCATGCATTTTATTAGAGTGTATTCCCACTCTGCACTTCCTAAACCCAGCTGGTAGGCTCATAAAGGAAGCATACTGTGGCATATAATCGATGGCTAAAGCTTTAATCAGATCCATAGTTCACGAAAATTCAGTGTAAATGATAAATGGAATAACAGCAGACTAGTTTAAAAGCACATGCCATGTGGTACTTAAGAGGAAAATGTATGTCCTTCTTTGTACTTTAAACATGCTGAGTAACAGACAAAGAAATGGGTGGCTCACAATACACATATTGAGTATTTTTTATTTATTTCAATTTTTTGGTAAACAATAATGCTTATGAGAATAGGGTGAGCTGCTCACCCCGAGCTCTCATTACTCTGATAGAGCTGCTCAACCCGAGCTCTCATTACTCTGATAGTGCTTGTCTTTGTGATGTATGCCTTTTGGCATCCTCTGGTCTAACACCATTGAGACTAGGCTAAAAAGAAAGCTGTCTCTAGTGTGGACCAATCAGTTTCAAAGACAATGCATATATTATCAGAGTATGTTTTTTTGTTTGCATTCTGACCACAAGTATTGTGGTTAATGCAGACATGATTCCTTGTCAAAGGTTTCAGTTTGGTGTTTTAACATCTTAACACCTAATTTGTTGCCAGAAAAAAAGGGGAAAACCTATTCTCATATTTTGGTACTGGCAAAGGAGGTCCCATGAAATAATTCTTATTTTAAAGGTGTGTGCGTCAGGGATTAAAACCATTCACAACGATAACCATATATAATCCCTTGGCCTGTTTTCATATTCGGAAGTGCTTCAAACCACCACATATATGTGCTCGCAGTTCTTAAGTAAAATATATATAATGCAAAAGTTTATATTTTGGTGTGTTTCATAATTACTGAAGGAAAACCCCAATTTGCTCAATGATGGCAGCTGTTAAATGATTCAAGAGATGTTTAATTAAACAAAAAGAAACGGTTGGAAATGCACAGGGCCAAGCAGCTGTGCTGGGGTTGAGGCGTCTAGCCTGCAGGCAGAACACTTTTTTTTTGTTGGGGTAGCAATAAAGGCCACGTGTGCGCCCCCACACTGCCGCCCAGGCTTGTTTCCAGATGTCACACTTAATGCACAGAGCAACAGCAGCACTCACATGAGTATACACTGGAGGAGGCATTAGGTAATGGTTATTGTTGCTGTTAGAGATGTACTCTTAGAACATGGCGTTGCTGTGGTAGTTAGCATACTTGCTTGTACTTGCAATACAGAGGTTGCTGGTTCATTTCCACCTCCTTCTGGTGTGACTTGAATCAATCTAGTTGAATGAAGTGTCTCAAATCCCAGCCCCCGCCTGAGTCTACCCAGCAGTTAAGTGTGGTGGTGGGGTAAAGTGTGGGTACGCACACCTGTTTTACAACATTTCTGGTCAATGTGGAAGAGTAGATCAAATACCACTCTCGAGTTCACTCTCGTGGAGGCCCTTCTGCCAACAGTGGCCTTAGAAAGCAAATGAAGTTTGGGGAAATACAGACCAACAATGAATTTTGCTGCGCTGTCCTTTATTGCCCACAACGCCCACTACAATGTGTTGTTTTGTTAACATGGTGGTTGCTCTTCTAAGCGTTATACAGGCTCAAGAGCCTGCTTAGCTTTCGAGGTCTGATGGGATCGGGAGCATGTTTGTCATGTTATTAAATGAAATATTAAAACTGACATGCAAAAAAAGAGTTGTCCATGTGCTTTTGTTATGTGCGGCGAACAATGGTGTTTGGTTTTCCAGTTCTACTTCCACCAATGTTTGTTTGGCACACATACGTTTTTGAGCAGTGAGACAGACATGGGGGGCAGCAATATCAACATTTCGATAATAATCCAGAAGGTGTAAGCAACTTGAATTGTATTTCAGCTCGGTGTCCTTTTTACCTGCAATTCTAATAGGTGACACAGCCGCTGAGAGGAACAGCCAATGATGGTTCAGTATATATATATGTTATGCAACTGAAATCTAGTACATTATTCTTGGAAACCTATACATATAAATAAGTTGCTGACAGTCCAAAATGAGTGAACTCAAAAGCATCTCTCAACAATATATTTTTTATTACATTATTTTTCCACAATTATGTTTCCCAACCATAAATGGTTTTATAAACACCCATGTTATGTTTTTGTATATCCTCCCCTTGAAGTGCATTAGTCTTTGTCCATCCGTTTACCAAATCTTTAATTCCTGACAGGTGTAATTATTTGTCTTGTTCCTCAAAGCCCATGTTCATAGCATGCACCACTTCATTGCAAACAGACCTGATTTGGATTTTTAAATAAAGTGTCTCATCAGCATGTCGGAACTGGTTTTAACAAAGTGTCTCCTCAGCATAGGCAGGCTTGCTTAAATCAATGTGGGTGAACTGCCAGATGTTATATGCAAAGACCCCCTCCTTAAGATATGGGTCTTAGTTCGAAGTAAACTATATAATACACAACACAAAATAATCATAAGTGTTGTGATTATTTGATTATTTCAAACAAGCCTGACTGCTGATGAGACACAGTCACAATTGATCTAAAACGTGATTGTATTGAATCAATGCTGATGAAATTATTGCACTCCCAGGAGGCTTTGTGTAAAACATACTTTTATTTTACGTGAAGACACTGATATATGATGTGCAGTAATGTGAAGAAGTGCTATGAAGGACCATTTCCCAAAACGTCACCTATGTTATAATATATATTTGAATTTTAAGTCAGTGTTGTTGAAGAGTGTGTTGATTCTTTTGAAGGAGACAGACATTGTTCTGCTAATCTATCTTCCATGACATGATCATGAAGTCGATTGACATTTTCCTGCATTGTAAACGTCATAAAGACCTCACATGATGTTCCCAAGAGTCCATCTGTGTTTAAACTCTCTGCGGCACTTATTAATTGCCAAAGATATTGTGGCATATTTCATTACAGTACTGCATTTCTTTGATTTTAATATGGTGTCGTGTCATTTTAAATACGCAAATTACATAACTGTGCCAGGGTCAGATTCCACCAGTTTATATCGAACACTTATTTTAATTAAGTTTACCCCTTTTGGTTGTGTGAATTAATACTGCTTGGCACATTTTAACATGTGCTCAGGTCACCTGCCATGTCATATATTAAATATATACTGAACAATACTATCTCTAAATACAGTGCATTGCATTAATTACATTTTTAATTCTAAATTGCTTGTGGAGTTAGGGGAGACATAAAATATATACTACATGCTAACAAACATGTTTGCTGGAGGTGTATATAAGAGTAAGTGCTTAAACATGAGAAACAGAATACAGGTCCGTTCTGTTTAGTCTGGTTGAGTAATTATGTGAATATGAGGACCATGAGATATCATGGTTGCTTGGGAAGGCCATCATCCAACAGTGGATTGATAATGACCTTTTCTTGAATTAACCAAACATGGCTATTGATGATTCCTGCACTAAAAGCAATTCATTGTAGAATCTAAGTAGAAAATTGTGGTCGTGAGCACAATTAAGAATGCGCAATTTATGGTTGTATTTTAAAACAATTGTTTCATTTAACCAAAGTGCACGTACGGTCAACGCGGCTGCTTACAATTTGAGCAACAGGAGACTGCACATTAGCAGATAAGAACACCACTGGCACCTAATTCACTTTTATCCCCTTCGTGTTCCTGACAGGCTTAGCTGCCAAGTGACAGAGATAGCAGAGGCACACAAAGCTGTAAATGAAAAGAAACTTGATACCAATGCCTGGCATGGCAACGGGGTTGAATTAACCACCTGTTCTTTGACTAATGCCAGCTTCATCAAATAATCCTGGAGATAAAATGTATCTTGCATTAATTGCAAATCCAAAGGCTTGTTTTTGCCAATTGGAGTGCCTTGCAGACTGCACTTTTGTGAATAAAGTTCGACGAGTAAAAAGGTTTCTGTGAATTGTACAATACGCTTGGAAACACACCGTGTAATATAAAGGTATATTCAGACTAACAAAACTGTCTTTCATGTCCTTTGTTGAGAGCAGATAAAGCAGAGGAATAAGGGTTATCGCAAAAATATTTGCTTTGTCATTAGTGACAATGGTGCAGTATGTTCATCTTATGCCCCTACATCACTGCCAATATAGTTCTTCCAACCATATTCCAGACAAATGGTATTAATACATATTCTGACGTACAGTAAAACCTTCGATTGCGAGCATAATTCGTTCCGGAAACGTGTTTGTAATCCAAAGCACTCGTATATCAAAGCACTCGTATATCAGTTGTGATCACGTGACGCTCGGCAGACAAAGCGTATACATACTACTCGTATTGCAAGACCTTGCTCGTTTATCAAACGAATATTTAATTAAAAATTTTGCTCGTCTTGTAAAACATTCGCAGACCAAGTTACTCGTAATCCAAGGTTTCACTGTATTGTACTTGTTTCTATTGCTCGTGCACGATTGTGAAAATTGTTCACCCATCTTAGACCCCTTTCCTCAAAATGAATTTGTGGCAAAGTAGTGCATTTTCATTTCACCAGGAGAGAGAAAACGATGCGTTAAGACAACATGAGACGTTTGATTTATCCGCAAGCATGTCCGAAGTTAAATCATAATTTTTATTTCAAAATCATATAAATTTGGTATACATGATAATCATAATCAAGTATTACACCAAATGTTAATTTAATGACTTAAATTACACATTTATTTATGTATCTTAATTTCATTAATACAACGTAATATAAATGAAAAAAACTGTTCCATTTAGTTGAATATAGAATGAAGGTGGTAGCAGTGCTGTGCAGTATTACATGTTTAAGTACCATGGATTTCCCCCCCCCCCTGAAATATACAGTACATGCATTTACATTTTTACGTCAGTACAATGTGTAGTGACACAGTATCGACTGCTGTCCAGCAGCAGCAACTGCTGTGGACAGTTAGCACACACCGTCGAGCACAGGTGTGCCGGCAAGGTGGAGGAACTGAGACAAGGGTTATGTAAGACCTCATCTGGAAGCCCCTGGCCGCGCCGAGTAGAATAAAAGCAGCGGAGAGCGAGAGCTCCGGGCTGCCAGTGGACTCGTCTCGCCGTCGCTGTCGTCTTCGCCGCCTTCGTCGCTGCCGACTTCACTCGATAATTGCGTGGCCGGATAGTTGTTGGCTCTCTCGGTCGACGCCATCGGTGCAACACGGTTAGGGTTGTGTCTAGGCTGGGCTGTATGGCAACGTGAGCGAGAGAGGAGGCGATCCTGTGAGTGAACAGCCAGAAAGGTGTTACAATAGAAAAGTATTACAATAAAAGAAGGTACCTCCTGCAACTACCTCGTCTCCGACTTGTGCTACACTGCATCTGGTGTCATAAATGGGGTTCCAAAGTGGCCCCGAAGAGGCCCCGAAAAGGAACCCACCTATAGTGTCATCGGAATGAGGACGGTGAGGCGGTCATCCCTCCTATAGCCTTGGGAGCAGCGGGAGAGCTGCCGCCAATTAGCGTGACAGCCGCTGCACATGGACGGGGATAGCGGCTACGCATCTGCGGGGAAAGTGGATATGCATCTGCGGGAAAGCGGCTACGCATCTGCGGGACAGCAGCTACGCATCTGCGAGGAGAGCGGCGCAATTTTCCGCAGTTGCGCGTCGACCATGTGGCATGGCGGAGGACCGCCACGGAGGGCGCACCCCAGGCGACGGCGCGAACAGGAGTCCTGGGGAAACCCCGGCTGGGGCTTCCATTGGAGTGGGAATGGGGAAGCCCGGACAGGAGACCGTGCACATGGTGGGCGCCATTTTGCCCTTGGAGCACCTACCATAGCCAGCGGGCACCATTTTGAGGTGAGCGCGGGAACGCACGGAGAAGTCACGAAGGTCGGTGGTGCTGCAAGGAGCCGCTCTTGACCTGCCACGGGAGGTTCGCATAAGATTCCTCCAGAGAGAGTAAGGGGAGGTCGAGACACCCTACACCATCCGGGTGGCGCTGCTGGCGCTGGGACGGGAGGTATACCCGCACTTGGGTGAGGGGGTGCTCCTCTTTCGGGTGGCGGAAAGACTGAGAGAACTGGCGCGGAAGTTGAGGATCACCCTGCCCCCCACCGCCGGCACAGAGATGTTGTCCATAATGGTGGTCCGAAAATTACAAGCCGGCGAGGAACACCAGCATTGGTCAAGGATGGAGGCTTGGGCATGGTGGATGGAGGACATGATGGCGGTGTCGGGCGGCCGGGGGACGCACGCAAGAGGGTCCCTGCGGGTGGACCGGTGGCGGGGGAAGTTCCTCCCGCCCAGGAAACCCACGGCCAAGTGTTTCATGTGTGGCCGGTCGGGCCACATCGCTATAGAGTGTCGGGGTGTCAGCGGGGCGTTGGCAGTGTCACAGACGCCCTCCGACCCACCGGCATCGTCTTCCCAATTCCCACCGGACCGGGTCTCTGAGGCCTTTTGAGACTGCCATGTGCGAGGTCTCGGGGACCAGATCCGGACAGGTGTGGCAGACCTCCTTCATCTCTCCACAACCCTCGGAGTCCCCGAAGTGCAAGACCCTGCTGAGACGGGGGTGACTGGTGCTAGCGATCGGATCACGCGAGCTATGTCCCGGTAATGACAGACTCTCCCTTGCACGGTGGGATTCGGAGGTGGTAAGGGCCTGTGTAAGGGGTTGTGTTGGGTGTGTTGCTGGTTTGCGGGGGGGGGGGGGGGGGCGCCGGGTTGTGTGAGTGTGTTGTCGGTTCGCGGGGGCCACCCCATTGTATGAGTGTGTTGTCGGTTCGCGGGGGGCGCTGCGTTGTGTGGGTGTGTTGCCGGTTCACGGGGGGGGTGCCGCGTTGTGTGTGTGCTGTTGGTTCGCGGGGGGCACCGCGGTTCTGTCGCAGCTGTAAAATGGTTTTCTCCTCTTTTTCTTCATGCTAGGGGTGTTCCTCTGTATTAGGGGTTACTCTGCCTGTCCACCGGTTGCGGCTGCTGTATTGGCAGCCGGGACGGCTGTTTTTTTTTAAATGGAGGGAGGTGATGTAGTGACACAGCGCCGACTGCTGTCCAGCCGCGGCAACTGCAGTGGACAGTTAGCGTACATGTCGTTGAGCGTATACACGGGTGTGCCGGCAGTGCAGAGGAACCCGCTAGTGTGTTCAAGAAGGAAGGCGCAGCCAGGGCGGAGCCAGGCCATGTCGAGTAGAATACAAGCAGCAGAGAGCGAGAGCTCCGGGCTGCCGGTTCTGGGAGTGGACTCATCTCGTCGTCGCTGTCGTCTTCACTCGATAATTGCGCGGCCGGACAGTTGTTGGCTGTCTCTGTTAACGCCGTCGGTGCAACGCGGTTCGGGTTGTGTCTCGGGCGGGCTGTAAGGCAACGTGAGCGAGAGAGGCGGCGATCCTGTGTGTAAACGGCCGGAAAGGTGTAACAATAAAAGAAGGTGCCTCCTGCAACTACCTCGTCTCCGACTTGTGCTACAATTCACATGTAACACTATAGCATGCGCATATTGTACACATGTACATACCTTTTGTCAATGCACTTCTCTGGGTCGTGGAGGTTATATTATTTCACCACACTGGTCATTTCGGGGTGGCATAGGGTGGAACATAGAGGAGGGAACATAGACATACAGTACAACGATATATTTGTATGCACTGCTCATTACTGCCAACCACATAGCCACAACCCTATCTCAAATTTAAAACTCATTTCTTTACCACTGTTTTATGTGTTTAGTGTGTTGTCCTTCCCCCGTACCTCCGATTAGCATGGTTGGCTACGTATGGTGTGAAAGAAGTTTAACATACATACAACTTACATTTTTCGCGGTGGTCACCCATTGGAGAAAATATCCGGGCATGATCCGGTTTAGCTGCCGAGATCTGACGAGCTTGGGCGCGATTTTGTTATCGGCATATTGTACACTTAGGGGCCGTCCATAAATGATGTCACGCATCTGGGGGGGGGGGGGGGGGGCAGACATTTGTGACGATGTGCGACGAGGGGAGGGGGGGGTGAGAAATGTGACGTCACATCAAAATGTGCAACTTTAAATAAATATAAACAACACGTTCTACTTAATTAAATAGACTTTTTAATAAATGTTTTCTCCTACAACATCAGAGTGCAGCGGCACATTAAATACGCACTACAATTACAATAGTTTAAAGCGATTTGAAGCATGATTAAATTTTTTTGGGTGGGGGGGGGGCAGAGCTTTGTGACTTTTTGTGACGCCGTGTGACAATGGGGGGGGGGGGGGGTCAAAAATCGTCCAAAATCGCGTGACGTCATTTATGGACGGCCCCTTATTAAATAGTACGTACAGTGTATGAATGTGTGTGCTTGCGTGTGGTAGTGTAATGGTTAGCGGGCTGCACTATGAACCCGGCGACCCGAGTTCAATTCCTGCTCACGGCCAATATCAGTGGCGAGTATCTGAACCAGTCCCAGGGCCTCCTCTAGGTCGTCTCAGCCTTAATTGAGTACCTGGTGTGGCGTGTAAACATCAGCGCTGGGAGACAGACATTGCCTGGTGTGGTCTCGGCCACCCACCCCCTTCATAGCACTTGCCCTAACAGACCGTTCAAGGCTAAACAGGGACCTTCGCCTTTGTTGTCATTGTACCTGTGTGCACGCCGCATGCAGAGCATGTGTGGGCCGCCCTCAAGGCTGGTGTGTGGGCACGATGGCGAGTCGTACGCGAGTGTGTGCACGGCCTACTCGGAGCGCGTGGCCGTCGACTACGCGGGTCCCTGCCAGGCGGTGGGGCTGCTGTCGCACCACGTCGCATCGCCCGAATGCGACGCTGTCACCTGCCCGGCTCTCCCCGTCGCCAGCTGCAAGCCCATCACTCCGCCAGGTATGCGGGAAAAGTGGGCGCTCGCACTTTGGGCTGCCACCCCTTATAAGGTGCACAAAGCCAGGGCATATTTAAGGGAAGAAGCAGATATTTCACAATACAGCTACAGGGGCAGAACTACGTGTAAATGTGTTGATTTGAGTGGTGATTTATTATGTAACTGACAAAAAAACGGGACTTTCAATGTCCCAGGAAGACTTACGGATTTCTCAAAACAGTGGCCTTAAAAAGAGGACATCTGGGAAAACCAGGACAAGTGGCAACCCTATTTGTCATCGAGTTGATTAATACTGGAAATTATACCAAGGCTAATCTTTGCATTATTCGTGAACATTGATGCTGCCGGAGGTTCGTTGACCAAGCGCGGCTGGATGGAAAAATGAAAGAGATATGTACTTGCCAGTGACACATGCCGTGCGATGTTTCCCACAGGGGCTTGCTGTCCAATATGTGCTGGGATGATGAGAATCCTTTGGAGTAAGGAGCAGGTTGACATATTGGCCAGAGTAAGCAACTTCATCATCGCAGATTCCCTCTTATGATAACTTTCTTCTCTCTGGTCTGTCTACCTTTCCATGTCATGTCATATATCACCTTTCACACTGAAACATCTAAATCTACAGCTCCTTGTCAATTAACTTTTTGGATGAGGGGCTCTTCATGCTATGTCAGTTGTAAGTCTTTTTTTAACCATACTTCACCACACTGCTCATACACATATTGCAAGTTAGTGAAGTGTGGGGCGCTGGGCTGGTGCAGATATCACTTGCCACTGATGTTTGCCCTGGCCGGGAATTAAACTCAAGACACCGCGTTCATACCGCAGTGTGCGAACAACTATGCCACCGCTCCACCCCATTCATACGTAACGCAGTTATTAAATGCAATGCGTACATCTCACGATTATTTTGGCGAGTATACATTCCCACATATGAAAACCCACATCTCGTGTGGTCAGGACGCCTCTGAAAAAGAGCTAATAGCTCAATGGACTTTACCTGGTAAATGAAATAGATTGGCAGAGACAAAAGTCTAGAGCAGAAGAACAATTCGAGAAGTGGATTTTGTAAAACGTGCTCTTCATAGCATATCCTTCGAATGTGTAATCTCTTTGTAATGTGTCGTACAATCTGTAGCTCATAATATATTTATTTAAAAGAGCATTGTTTTTCTTCACTTCAACCGGCAGCTGTCGTTTCTGGGCCTTTCTTTCGCATTTACAATTTTTGTAGACGGCCAACCGTGGCCCAATCACGGTGAGCGACATCGTGCACGGGCTGCGGCTTCACGTCTCCGTGCCGCAGTGTGACGTCTTCGGTTACCTGAGCATCGAGACTGACATCATCATCCTGGTGCTTCCTGTTGACCTCAAGCCCACCGCTTTGCAGGTCAGATGCTCATGTTTTTAAAACGTCGCCACGTTCTTTCCCCCCCGTAAAAAACAAAGCATAGGGGCAGTGTTCACATCTAATGGTGGCACCTAAGCTTGTGGTGGAAATACAACAATTATATGGTGGACACTGTGTTCCTCTCTAAGGCAACCACTGCCGGTCTCCCACAAAGCAGCACTTATTTTATTGATCTCATAATGACAGGCTGAGTAAACCTGCAGTTGTTGATTTTTAATTCACAACCTTCGAAGCCTTAACTACAGCACCACCTGGCTGGAATAATATATGTGTACAATAATACGCACAGCATTTTCACTGCAAGCCTAGGCAAGAACTTGACATCATCCTACATGCAACTAGTTGGAGTGAGTCAGGCAGCTGATGAAAAACAAGAGTGTAGATGTAAAGAGGGAGATGGAGTGATTAAATCATGGCCTACATCAAGAGTGGGTTCAATTGTGGTTGCACAGTACCATAGGCGAATGAATGTTTCAGCATGTAGACTTCATTTTACATTGGAAAGATAATGTTTTTTTAATGCTGCAACACTGTGATTATATAAGAAAATGTAAACTATACTATGTATATATTTTTTCTTTACAGATTGAAGCATGCAGCAAAGAGGCTGAGAAAATCGGAGTGCTCATCAACTCGGGCAGTCCAGTGCTGGTGTCTCACGTGCCCCTCTCGGCTCTCACCAACGCCCAGGTGTACGTGTCCACAGGTGGCGTGTCAGGCGTCTCCCCTCCTCCCACAGGCCCCAGCTTTGTTCTCCTCCTGGGTGTGCTCATGGTCACTTGTCACAGGGTGTTGTGCTCCTGAATTGGTAGCAGAATGTTGCAAAAAAATGTGTCATGCTGAGGACCATTTTTTTTTAATGAACTTACCGAGGTCCTCGGGAACCACACCCATATCTTCTCTTTCCGAGGTTGAACTCCTGTCGTGTACTAAGCACTACGCAATATGGATGTGGCAACATGGATCCATTTCATTATGTCACATATTGCTCACCAAGTCGATCGCTTTCTAACATTTTCAAAGAGATAACAAGTGCGTTATAAATGTAGGCATATCGTGGCGATTATTAGTAATGCAACCATGCTTATCAGGAAGCACTGATGAATAGACATTGTAAATGCAGTGAGTAAATTCCTGTTGTAATTGTTTCTTGCGAAAGGCTATTGTCAACAAGATATACGTGAATTGTGCCGAAGCATGGCCTCTCTGAACAAACGTTACCCCCACGATACACCTTCTGTGATCAAGATGCAGTTCTACTTAGTTTTGAAGAGGTCATTTTATTTTGTAGCTACACAGGACAATAATTGGATAGGATCTGGGATGTCTATACACATTTAAATCAAGCGTGGGAGCAATTGGGTATACGTTTTATATCGGTCAGGCAATGTTATTCCTGATATATCTGCCACGCAAATGGTGTTTTCCTTTATCAGCGAAAATAAGCTGCATGTCCTGTAGTTTGTCTATTCATATGCATTTCCTTTCTCCTATCTTACATTACATATTTACAATTCAACCTTAATGAAAATATTTGCAGTGTCTGATTATGGGATATCAAACAATGCTAACCTAATTTGCACTTGTTGCTAAGAGGTTATTTTTGTGAAGAATTTGTGCCAAATCAAATTAAAATGAAACTTCGTGTGCATTGCACTTACTTTAGAAATGATCAAAGGATATAAATAAATTAAATTAGTATTTTACAAAAAAAGTCCATCAAGAAAAGGTTTCATTTATTATTTGACACATTTTTATATTTTGTCTTTTCACATTATTTTCTTCAATCGGCCATTATTTACTTTGATAGGGAGAATATTATCACAGCATTTTACAGATGGTTTTGTTTGATACAGATGGCACCTCATGCTTGATTATGTAAAGTTGGTTAAACCAAGTGGATGTCCTTCAAGTTTGTGCTTCAAAAATTCTCAAAATGTTTTTTTTTTACTTTACTTATATGATGCAATAACTTGCATATGAAAACACAAACACGATGTTTCTGATGACTGGATGCAGTGTACAATAATAAATGCTTTATTTTTTTTGTAACGGTTTAAAACATTTTAGATACCAAAAAAAAAACCCATATAATATATGTATGGTTATATACTTATACGTCTATACAAATGTATATTTGACATTTTATTAAACATTTTAGTATTTTAAGTCTCGTGCTATGCATAACAAGAGACAGTGAAGGAAATTACGGTGTGTTAATGAAGGGTATCGTGCATGACAGGGCTATTCCAAGTAATACGACGAACAGTGGAGATTCAGCAATACAGCGGCTCAGACTGGCCATGCTGCTCTCACAAGTTAATGCCACTCGCTTGCAAATGACCCTGACGGAAGTTCCACGAAACATGTAAACAAAACAAAAATATGTTAGCCCTTGTGTTGCATACACACGACAGACAGCGCAGTGATGGCTGTACAGTGTCGGTTTTCCAAAGTACAACATATAAAATTACGAATGTTGAATGTCTCCTAAAGTCACGTTGGTGGTAAAACGTGCTTATATTTCTGGTTGTCGACAGTAAACCCTGCGGGTGTGATAGTTTATATATATGGTCTCAGGTAGCTGTGTGGCAATTGGTGCTGTTCTGCACCAATTAAAAATGAATGCCACTTATCTGTAAATGTCACCATGAAATGCATAGGATAGGCGGTGCGTGACAATCAGTGTAGATAAGTATCCTGTTAAACCCCAGTTTTTTGACCAGCAAACTTACAGCATACTTAGTAGATTTGGACACACTGTTCACTGGCCAATGTGCTATAATTGAATGTTGCGCTTTAAACAATCATAGCGAGGTGTGTTGGTTTAATTTTCCAGTAAGCGGAGATACACCGAGCGTGTATTGAAGTAATACATGGTACAAGGCTGTCGTACAATTAAGGTGCCACGTTAATGCCCCTTGTCGAATGCTGATTTTTTAAAAATATAGTTGTGTACATTACATATGTACATCACATATGCAGCGGGCATGTGTGTGGACAAATTTGGGACAATCATCTTCAAAATTGTACGTGTGCAATGGCACCATTCACCATGATGTTGATTGAAATGACAATGCAGTCCGTTTTTCGATGTGCTTTCGGGTTGTACAACATGTTATTCAGTATGATGTCTGATGTTTCGCTCGACATTGGCGGTTTTTGATTAGGACCTGATCCCGAACAACACCCAGTACCACACATCAGAGAGCTGTATAGCGCAATTGCAAAAGCTACGCAGTAGCATTGCAGTACGTTGTCTAATGCACCTCATGACAAGCAAGGCGAACCAAAGAGAGCAGTTCTGTGCTTGGTGAGCATTCGCCAGTGTCCTTGTCAATGTAAATATTGCGAACAGGAGACGACTGTCATGGTCTGTGTAATGAATGAATAATGTTCTGTCTAATATAGATAAAGCCACATTTTCATTGGCGCCGTCGTTGAAGTAATGCATTCTGGAAACAAAACACCAAGCAAATTCATTTTTAGTTGATAAAACAAAACCAGTTTTCACATCTTGGGGAGAAACTGACAACTTCCCCCTTTGGTAAGTAACGGAGACATTGGCCGTTTTTTTTTCAAAAGCTGTATACTTTCAGGATGCTGTATTTTTCAAAGCAGCACTGTAAACAAAAATATACACAACAGTTAAATCTGCTGATCTCAATTTACAGTTATATTAGGGTCTACAATAGCGAAAATAAACCTCCATTTGTCTCTCCACATAAAATAAATGTATTTTTTACTAACTTTTTGCTTATTCAAATATTTATTTTCAAATACTTATTTGAAGAAGCACACTGCAGCTCACATTTATTAAATTACCTTAAAATCTTTATAAATGGTCTTGTATAATAACTAACACTAGCCCTTAATGTACGTTTGAAGTGGTGTTGGTGTAAAAGAGCAAAGCTTATGAAATGCCATTTGTATAAAATGTTTTGGTTGAACTAGTCACAATCAATAGCGGTCGTTTATATAGATGTCTACGAAGGAGAATGGATATTAGCCAAGACAAACACTTTTTAAGCCGGGTTCTCTATTTTGGGCTCACGGCGCCAAATTGGCATCCGTTGTTTCAGCGCATTAAGCCTAGCAATGTGCAACATGGGGCATGTGAAGTGCGTGTCCTCTTAAACACAGTATTAATGACTTGTCAGGGACTTCGCGTAGTTATGTATGCCTTGTTTTGTTTGTGTTCTCTTCACTGTGTTTATGTGTTCGATGCATTGTTTTATTTTTGTCATGCTTATATATTTTGTCAAAATAGAATGTGTTATTTTCACTATAAAGTGCAGATGTTTTAAATGCTGTTATATAAGCGCTATACACAATAAGCCCGCGCCGGTTAAGTGTGCCAATATATTTAAGTAAAATGATAGTTGTATTGTTTTACAATGATAATACAACTTTGCACATTAAAATACAAACATATTGCTGGGTTGATGTCTCATGCCTATAATTATTTCACAGGATATTACCAACGTGGTCTTGCAGAGACCCGTGTCTTTGTACTCTTCTCACACATATTGGCAACAAATTAAATAATGAATATTGGCATCTTCGTCTGGAAAATAGGTTGATACAAGGCTCATTTGCACGTTCCATGCCTGTGACACTGGTCTTCAGAAGCCACATTTTTTATGAGAAAAGCGTTTATATGGTAGATATGGGGTAATCATACTGATATGCATACAGAGATTAAAAAAAACATCATCATGGTAATGTATACTAAATTATAATCATGTACATAATGTATTTAAAATAGTGTAAACTCCTATGTCAAGTCTGGTGGTGGATGGAGGCCTCCCCACATCCTGTTGGTTGTGGTGGTTGTTTGACCATACTTCACCACGCTGGTCAGTGCGAGTTGGCGAAAGGGGAGGAAGTGGTATGCCAGCATCTATCATTCTTCACTGACGCCAGGAATCAAACTCAATTCTCCCGTTTTACCGCAGTGTACAACCCACTACGTCATAACTATATAAATCCTAAAGGAAGCATACGAAGTTGCAATTCAGAATAAGAATCTCTTTTTATACTGGAGCTATCCGATGAGCTATTAAGCTCTTTTTCACACAAGTCCAGTAGGTGACAACTCATTGTGGAAAGCAAGTAAAACAATGAATTGCACGATGATCTTCAAGTTAAATTTACATTTTAAGTTTCAACATTTTAATCAGAACTTGACCGCATTTGCTTGTGAAATGACATAAGCCACGTGACATCTTCACGTTTTATCTGAAGTGCAAACCCGTTTTCCATGCGTATGAAAACATACACATGAGACTGCCATTTATTTAGATACTTTCCTCTACAAATTGCATTGATGTATGAAGTATTATGTAATTTTGTGTTGAACTCGGACGCTGGCAGTTCATCGTTTTGATTTCTGGAAGCCTGACTGCTGATGAGACACTGTGTTGTCAAAACCGCTCCAGAGTTTGATTGCGCTGAATCAAGTGCCGCTGAAATTATGCACTCCCAGAAGGTCGTGGGGACGAATAGGTTGTGTAAAAAAATATACGTTTATATTTTATGTGAAGGGACGGATATGTGAAGAAGATATATTGTCCGCTTATCTATTCTGTTACATGATATTCTCCACAACGATGCTGTTGATTATGTTATTTAAGCAAGTAGACTGCCGATTTCAAACCCTTTTGGCGCATACTAATTGCCAAATATAATCATAACCCTTCATACATTAAGAATTTTATTTTTATTTTGAAACAGTGTTTGCTTTGAAAATCGGTATGCCGTAAACGGGTTTATACATCATCAGCACAAAAAAATTATCACAATAAGGATCCCCAAAACAAACAGCGGCTGATGTGTCTGACTAGGTCGCACTTTGTGTGGAGCAGTTAATATATCTCTGAGTCCACGGCTGGATGAAGGACTGCCTCACGGTGTCGGTCATGAGAGTTGTTGAGCATATTTCACCACGCTGATGAGTGCCGAGTAAATTTTACGTGCCATAAAGTGTCAGGACGTGGACATCGTTGTGTTCCTCCTCGTGGAGGAGTAATTTTAAATCCTGCTTTTATGATTATTCTTCTAAGTATAAAATGCGAATATCCTATACGCTATTGTGTGTGTGAGTAATCGGCAACAGTCGTGTTCTTTTTCTATATAAAGTAGAGATTACTTGTTTTGTATCATGTCCTCTGGTTAAATAAAGATAACCCACGACATGACTGGTTACAGAACACCAAAAACCAGTGGCTTGTGCGTGAAATGTCCGTAAAATTTTAAGCAGTAACAAATACAATTCACTTTCAAAAAGATAATGAAGGTAGCCCAATCACTACCGTGCGCAGAAAATAGATTGGTCACGTTTTACACAGTATGTGTGTTTAGCAGATGTACTTGCAGCAATGCATTACTGCACCGCATGTGAACTTGCGGCATAATGTATCGCGTGCATTAATGAATACTACGATTACTCTGACAAGCCAATTTGTACAACTCATTCCTTATACGCAATCGTGGAGGACTATGGTCAACAACAATAACAACAATACAAATATGAACGTCTTAAAAGAAAATTAATAATATTTGAGTCCACCCGTCTGTCGCCCTTGTGGAAGATAGTTAAGCATAATTTTTAGAAGAGGTAAACTCCGCGAATCGGTTTCGCCTTTCAGAGACTCATCAGCAGGACTCATCAGCACGGACACGTTAATTGTAGGAGGCGAGTGCCTGGCTGTCCCCAGCCCGTCACAAGATAGGAGTGCATGTTGTCGTGTAGATATGTACGTTGAACTTCTTTCGTGCCGTGCGTAGTCAACCGTGCTAATCGGAGTTGCAGGGAAAAGACAACAAACTAACCACAAAAAGCAGTTCAAAAGAAATTAGTTTTCAATCCAGGATGAGGAAAATGCAGGATTTTCTTGTCCGCGCGTCCGTCTCGGGACCAACGTGGCCGCGAAGAGAGCCTGATGGAGGAAGAGGCCCCCCGCCTGCGTAACGCGAGCCGAACGAACAAAGCGCGCACAGCGGCGGCCAGCATTGCGCGTCGGGCTCGGCGTGACGCAGACGAGGCTTGAGGTTCTCTCCTCCAGCTCGGGTCAACTCATCCGCGGGTCACCTCACTCATCCGTACATCCCCCTCCGTGTGAGGGAGCCTCTCGTGTTCCACGCTTCTCACCTTCCACCCGGCGCCTCACCCCCCCCAAATGCCCGAGATCAATGATGGAGTATTTACACACATATATAAGTAGTGGAAAAACTGAAGATCTTCGTATTTCCTTGTGCCTATGACTGACTGATTCTTTCTCCAAGAATTCGTTTTATCTAGCGAATGCTTTTACACTTGACTTTCACACAGAGCACCAGATACACACCACGAATTGTTGATCACTATATCTGTACAGCGGTCCTGAGATGTCTAATTTTGATGCTATATAAATCCACATTTCATAAGTGTAGGTCTGCTGCTTTTGTCGTATGGTTTAGTAAACCCAGCCATAGCCTGAGTTCTACATGAAGATGCGAAAGCCAGTTTGTGGCATTGAATCTTGGAAAACAAATTGTGTTTCTGCTAAACTAATGAACAACGAATATGTGAGATTATGAGTAACTTTAAACTGTTCAAAGTCACTAAAGGTACACTTAAAGTGTAAACGAATTCAGCACTTGCGTTCGCCCACTCTGCACTGCGAATTTTTTTTTCCCAGTGTAATGGTAAATATCAATATAATCACAATACTGTATATCTAATAACATAGCAGCGTGCGCACTGACTCGGTTCACAAATTGATATATGATACTGCCATGGTTATGATGATGACATGCAGGTGCTACGACTTTCTGTTGCAGCTAATAATGCAGCTGTAAAGGTACCAGCAAGCGTCTTACCCATCTGAGTGCGAGAACCGGCTCTGAGCCACCCGAGAGAGGAAGGAAAAGCCCCAACGCGCCCGAAGAACTCACCCATTCACTCTTCAAATCTTAAACTTAGAACCACTACACTCTCTCCGATGTGTTTTTCGTGTTGTTCTTTTTTTCAGAATAATTTCCCTACCTTTCGCTTCACATTTTTCGAGAGCTTCAATTTCTGGAAGAAGCATTTGAAGTGAAGGCGTGGAGCGAAAACACGTGGAGCGAAACGACGGACACCATGCCCGAACAATATGCGTGTAACCCCGAAAAACAGAAAGGAGAGCAGCTAAGCTACACAGCACAACCGAGACGTAAACATACGCCGTTGCAAGAATCGTAAATATATAGCTAACATCGCTTCTGTAGAACTGTCGGTGATAGAACGATGCCGGCTGGATGTAAGAGCGAGGAAGTCGCCTGGGCTTTGTGCGTAACCTACATTGGCCGCCCAGGTGATGAACGCGAATGACCAAATGGAAGTTCGGGTTTTGGTCAAATAGCGGAGGGCGGAGCGATGCTCTGGCTGCTTCCGGCAGCGGTGACGCCTCCCCTAAGCCAGGTCGCACATGCACATCAAGACGACGCACGTGTACCTGCGCCAACCGCACAAAGCCACCTCCACTACCGCTGCCACCCCCCACTGCTACCTTTAATAATGAATGCATAGGTTCATGACGCGGAGCTGTGATATGACAGTGGTTTGCGCAGCTGCGCTATAAACCTCGCTAGAAACCTCGCGGTCACCTGGGTTATATTCAAGGCAGCGGATAACATCGGTGACAAGGGGAAAACCGGAGGACCCGGACAAATATCCACGCAACCACGGGGGGAACATGATAACTCCAAATATACAGGCGTCAGGTGCTCTGGATCGAACCCATGACCCTATATACCAGGCGAGAGAGTAAAACCTCGCTACCGTGGCGCCCGCACGGTCAGTAGATATGCCCTCTCCTGTCATGGAGCTATAGAACAACATTACCTATGCGTAAGTTATGACTTTCATAAGTGACCACCACCATCATCGCACATGATCAATCCACTGCTGGACGAAGCGCCTCCACAAGGCGTCGCCGGCTCTCCCGGTCGTGCGATATATAGCGGTCCACATCTAAAGCGTCATACGCAGGAACTTAATTCATCGCTCCATCTCCTGCGGTGGACTTCCTCTCAGAGCGCGTTCCACTCGTTTGGCTGCAGCTCCGACGTTAGTCTTGGCCATCGACCATAATCTATACGCGGCTTAATGTAATAGTAATACAAAAATATATATATCAAGCCCTCCATTTGTGGCTCTTGTTCGATAAGATGAAAGGAATCGGAAATATAGGTGATGCGAATCCACACAGCCTGGACAGAACGCGCCTCTTGCCTTCCCATGCGAGTTCACAATGATGGCTTCAGTGAATTCGGGAAGCAATCGTAACGCTTTATTGGGTTCACATGTACGTGCAGCGGGTATCCGCGGCACATTAAACTCAGGATACATTGTGTCATATATTTCTGTGCGTTTAATGACATAAGTGGGGAGGGAGGGGTGACGTAGTGGGTAA